ACACCGTCTCGTGCGGCTGGGCAAAGTAGGCCTGCTGAGCTCCCGGCCGGGAGTCAGGCTGCAGGTGACGATGTTCCAGGGGTTCACAACCAGGGTCAGCGTGTAGCCGTCGACGCTCAGAGCCGCGACGGTGCGTGGCCACGCTGCGCTGGGGCGGACCGGCCAGTTCGACAGGGAGACGTCCATGAAGCTTTGCCAGCTTTCAAGGCAGCGTCCATGCGGCAACACGCCGGCTACCGAAGCGCGGCAGGCCGCTGCGCTGAGGCAGCTGGACGACTTCCTGGGACAGCTCCCGCCCAGGACCATTGACTGAGGGCTTTGAAACGGACGCTACAAGAGTATCCCAGCTTTGTGCGGCTTAAAAACGCGGTTGCAGATGAACACCCAAGCCCGGCTCCACAGAAAAAAGGCAGGACTTGCGCCTTGGGCGAGCTTGGGGGGCCCTCAGGCAGAACACAGTTGCATGATTCCTGCATGAGCCTCTCATGAATCCAACATGGGTGTCTCGTGAGAGCGTGGACGCCACGTGACTGCACAATGGCACGCTCGAGTCAAACCATGTCAAGACTTTAGGGATTGGGTCGCCACAACATCTGCCAAATTTGCCTCTTGGGATGCCCCGCCAATCATCAAGATTTCCAGCGCTCCCCCCCCCTAGCCCCCGCTACCCGTGCTACCCGTGTTCCCCCCCCCCCGCGCTACCCGGCTACCCGCGCTGCCCCCGCTATCCCCCCGCTACCCATGCTACCCATGCTACCTGTGCTACCCATGCTACCCATGCTACCTGTGCTACCCGTGCTACCTTGTAAAAATGCTGCCAGGGCCAATGTAGTTGCGCTTTGTTGAGGTGGGTAGCATGGGTGCATGGCCTCTCCCCCAGGTCTGCATCAAAATGTGAAGCTGCCAAGCTTGTCCTTTTCTATCCAGCCTGTTTCCAGCGCTGGCTGGATGAGGCATCCTGTCCTTGGCAGCGACAACAAATCTGCAAGAAAGCCCACGTGGGGGCAAAAAGCACGATGGGCTTGCCCAACTTTTCACTCGCACGATGTAGAAAACTCTCTCCTGAACAGGCCGACTGCCCAAACTACTGCTTCACTGTGGGGCATCTGCCTTTGATCACCTGCTCAAACTCCTCGTAAGTCTCTGCGGGCACGCGCTTCTTCATGATGGTGGCCACGCCCTCATCGCAAACCAATTCCTTCATCACCTCCCCGGTGAGCGGCGAGGCCCATGAGGCCTGGAGCCCATCATCCGTGGTCTCGATCTTGGCGCCGCCCACTTGAGCAAGCTCCAGCGTGGCCTTGTCGAAGGCCTCCACTGGCGGCCCAAAGGCCATCTCTGCAGCGGCCAACATGGCCTTGCCGGTCTTGGTGGCCTTCTCCTCCTTCTCCATCCCTGTTTTTGTCAGCTCCAGACTGTACTTGAGCTGCTCCTTGTGCCACTTCTTCACGCCCTCGATGCCCAGGGCTCGATTTTCATCCAAGCGGCGCAAGAGCTTGAAGGAGCCGTCCAAGGAGCGGACAATTTGGGCCACGCCCTCCTCGCCAAAGTCCGCTTCGAAGCGCTCCTTGACGTGTGGCTGCATCTCCTCGGAGGTAGGCGCTGGAGAGTACCTCATGTCCGTGCGCTCGGTCACGTGCGTCATCAGCTTGAAGTACTGGGCCACACCGTACTCGCTGGCGACCAGGACCACATTGCCCCACAGAGAAAGGGCACAAAAGCGGTTCAGGATGCCGCTGTGCTGCATCACCTTGTTCGCGAGAATCTGCGTCTCATCCACCACCAAAACCAGTTCCTGCGGGTGTGCCTTGAAGGCTCCACGCAGGCCCTTCCACACCGCATCGGGCTGCGGCTGTGGGAAAAACAACCACTTCATGTGCTGAAACCAGCTGTGGAAGGTGGCTGTCTGGTTTGAGATCAGGCTGCCCACCACGAACTCCTCGATCTTCTCCTTGTCGTTCTCCTCGCCCGTGTAGTCGCCGAGGCCGATGAAGAAGCCCACCTTGCCTTGATCGTGGCATTCCTTCAGCACGGCACTGGTCTTGCCAGAGGTCTGCAATCCGCTGATCAGTGTCATCAGCTCGAAGTTCTTGCGCTCTTTCAAAGCCTGCCGGACGATCTGTGTCATGCTCTTGTTGACCACCCAGGGCTTGGCATACGTCGGTTCCTCAAAGCGCCCAGCGGAAATGCTCCACAGGTACCATCGGGCATACCCCTCTGCGTTCCAGGAGTTGTAGAAACGTGCGGTCGTGACACCAGTGCCCACAAGAGCCAGGGGAAGCGTTGCCACCTTGTAGATGCTGGCAACCTGCTGCAGCCGCGCCCACCATGAGCTTTGAAACATGGCAGCTGACGGAAGCTTTTGGGGACTTTTTGCGGTGCTTCGCGCTATGATCAAAAAACATATCCAAAAATCGTTTTGCTTGAGGTTGAAAGGAAACTTGTCTATTGGACGAACGTCGCTGTGTGTGTGAGCCAACCCTTTCACACAATGCACACAATGCACAGCCAACGCATCCTATCTGAGCGCATCTTGGACACCGGTCATGCAAACAAGCCTCCCATCCTCAGGCAGCGGCTCCATCTGTTGGCGCATCTGCATCGCCTGGCAACGCGAGACCGGGGAAACGCAAGGCCAACAAGGAAGCAAGGCCAACTACAAGCTCCAACTCCAATAAGAACTCTTGTATCAAGACATGTCGGGCCTGATTCCGCTGGCCTGCTTCTCATCCACACTTTCCTCGTCATCTGAGATTGCTGCACCTGCTGGCGCCTGGACGCATCACCAGCTACCCGCAAAAAATGAGCTCCAAAAATTGCAGCTTCACAAGCCCTGGATGAGTTTATGTTCAGATAGCACGGCCCTTTCCCGCTCATCCCCAAAACCGAAACGGCCAGCAAGCTTGAAGGCGCATTCTCAGGTGCAGGTGGAGGCACCTGTCTGGACTGGGTCGTGAATCTCCATGGCCTGCAGCGCTTTCGAGCAAGGCGCTTTCACGCAGAAACTCACCACGGTCATCAAATGCCTCACCAGCACCAGCGGAAGGCCCAGGTCGAAGACGAAAGATAGCCGTGTGCATAAAGTAGAGACCTTGCTGCAGCATGCTTGAAAGACATCAAGGCAAAAAACAAAGTAATAGACATCCAGTCAAGCAAGCACTCTGCGGGGCCATGCCACCCATGCTACCCATGCTACCCATGCTACAAATGCTACCCATGCTACCCAGCACAAACATGCAACCACACTCGCCCTGGATGCGTTTCTGTTCGGGGTAGCACGGGTAGCACGGGTAGCATGGGTAGCATGGGCAGCATGGGTAGCGTGGGTAGCACGGGTAGCATGGGTAGCATGGGCAGCATGGGTAGCGTGGGTAGCAGGGGTAGCAAGGGTAGCATGGGCAGCATGGGTAGCAGGGGTAGCAAGGGTAGCACGGGGTCACCCGGCCTTGCGTGCACTTCCCAAAAAACAGCAAAATTGCCCTGTGGCCTGCTCGCGCACACACACACACACATGCTGGCTCAAAGTTGCAAGCGGTTTGCAAGCTTCAAGAACATGCTGGTTCACAAGTAAACATATCCAAGGCTGTTGGATGTACAAGAGCAAGAGAGCCAGCAACATCGCAACGGGTTTGCAAGCGTCAAGGACATGTTGGTTCAGCATGTGGCGCAGCACATGCACAACCATGCCCTGGAGGTCCTTGTCCGCCAAACTCTGCAGCTCCAAGACCAGCTCCGCTCGGACCATTTTGGACACTGTTTTGTTGGCGGGAACAGCGCTCTCCTCATCCGAAGAAAATGAACCATCCAAAGATCCTGAGGACTCCACCTTCTCGCTTGGCCTGGGGCTCATCAGCCTAGCGCCTCAGGAAGCTGCGACCGCACAACAAAGGTCCTGGCAACCAACCAGAATTGGCCCCCCTTCCAAAATGGCCCCGGCTACCCGTGCTACCCGTGCTACCATTGCGGCGAGCCTCCCAAAATGGCCCCTGCTACCCGTGCTACCCACGCTACCCCTGCTACCCATGCTACCCGTGCTACCCGTGCTACCCGTGCTACCCGAGCTACCCGTGCTGCCTGAGATATTGCGGCGAGCCTCCCAAAATGGCCCGTGCTACCCGTGCTACCCGTGCTACCCGAGGGATTGCGGCGAGCCTCCAAATTGGCTCGTGCTACCCGTGCTACCCTTGCTACCCGTGCTACCCGTGCTACCCGCGCTACCCGAGGGATTGCGGCGGGCCTCCAAATGGCCCCATGCTACCAATGCTACCCATGCTACCCATGCTCCAGCTCAGAAATGCAACGAGGCATGCCTTGGCCGTGTTTTAAGGCCGGGTAGCATGGGTAGCATGGGTAGCAAGGGGATTTTGGAGGGTAAACTGCAGCAAGAGACAGGCCTGGTCCTCGTTGCTTGCCTTTGGCCTGGCACCAGGACACACTCAAGTTCCCTCTCCAAAAAGGCGCATGAATAAAGAATGCATGACATGCATTGACACCAAAAGCACATGAGGCAACAGACAGGCCTCGTCCTCCCTGCCTTTGGACTCATCTGCATGGCTTTCAATCGCCTTCGAGTCCCTCTCCAAAAAAATAATGCATAGCACGCTCTGACAGGCCTTCTCGTCTTCAGGCTCATCCGCCTGGTTCATGCTCGCCTGGCACCATGCTACATCCACGGAGTGACGCACAACAAAGCCGGGGTAGCATGGGTAGCATGGGTAGCGAGGTTCTGTTGGGGTGATGAAGAAGAAAAAAAACAGCAACACACGGGCCTCGCTGTCTTCCCCATCGGATTCATCTGCATGCCCTTCGATCGCCTGGCGCTATGTGACCCACTCAAGCTCTCTCCCCAAAAGCATGAGCAACAAATGGATACGCACTGACAAGCCTGAGTCCTCTCCCCTTCCGGCATGTCAGCATCGTTTGAGTTTGCCTGACTCTCCATGACTTCTGAAAAACACTGTATTCAAGCAGGAAGACTGCGGGCCTCGCTCCCTCCTTCGTCATGAGGGTTGGCATTGTCCACCGGCATCGGCTGCACAGGATCCTTGATTTCCACAGCCTCCGGGAATGCAACTGATCTTGACTATCAAAAAAAATGTAACAGCAGGCCTCCTTCCTCTTGACTTCGGGCTCGTTCGTTGGCACGAGCCGTACTGCAGGCCTCCTTCCTATCAACTTCGGGCTCGTTCGTTGGCACAAGCCGTACCGGTTCTGGGATTCCAATGGCCTGGCGGGAACGCAACGTGATCTTGACTGTCAAAAAACTGTAACAGCAGGCCTCCTCCCTCTCGACTTCGGGCTCGTTCGTCGGCACAAGCTGCACCGGTTCTGTGATTTCCATGGCCTGGCGGGAATGCAACAGGACCAGAGATCAATTTACTGAACTAATCAATCTTGCTTGAAAGGGAAAGGATCCGCCTCCAGAGAAGGCGCAATAGTCGGGTCCACTCCGCGGCAGGTCTCTAGTCGCCAAAATGGCACTGCAACGGCAAGTCAATCACGCACATGAATCTCAAGATGACTCTCCGCCCGGAAAAAATGCACTGCTCAAAAAAACGTTTTCCTGCCTCGGCCCCAAAAAACCCCATGCTACCCATGCTACCCATGCTACCCATGCTACCCGTGCTACCCAGCTCGTAAGTGCAGCGAGCCCTCACCTGGCCAACCCTGCACTGCTCAAAAAAACGTTTTCCTGTCTCGGCCCCAAGAACCCCCATGCTCCCCATGCTACCCAAGCTACTCATGCCTCTGCTGGCTGGTTTGTGAGCTGGGTAGCATGGGTAGCATGGGCAGCATGGGGGTTTTGGGGCCGAGACAAGCTAACCATGATACCCGACTCACTGAGCATGGGTAGCATGGGTTTTCCTGTAGTCACGGCTGACAAGCAAAAAAACATCGGCGTGTTGAAAGAGGGGTGCAAGAGGGTGCAATCACAAATCAAGCCAATTCCATGCAAAATCGAACAAACACGAGGGGGTGCAAAAGGGGTGCAATCACAAATCAAGCCAAAAACATGCAAAATCGAACAAAAAAGAGGGGGTGCAAAAGGGGTGCAAAAAGGGTCGGGTTGGGCGAACCAGTATCAAACCAGCGGGCTGGCGTGGGCAAACCGTGCAAAACCGTGCAACACGAGCTATTCGCCTAGGGTCTATATTTATGTAGGGCCTAGGCTAATAGCATTTTGTAGCTCAAAACCGTGAAAAACCGTGCAAAAGAAGGGGGACTCTGCCCGGAGTTTTTTTTCCTGTCAGGCTGCCGTGCGTGTTGGCAACGAAGCGCGACTCCGGGGGGTCTGGCGCTGGGGGGCGGGATTTTTTTTCGGCAGTGCCGAGCGGGCACTTTAGGTAGGACGTGCCGAGCAGGCACAGTGCCGAGCAGGCACCGTAGGAGTGCCGAGCAGGCACAGCGCCGAGCGGGCACTTTTAGGAGTGCCGAGCAGGCACTGTAGGACGTGCCGAGCAGGCACTTGTAGGAGTGCCGAGCAGGCACTGTAGGGTAGGCAGTGCCGAGCGGGCACAGCGCCGAGCAGGCACAGCGCCGAGCAGGCACGTAGGATACTGGTTCGCCCAACTCCGTTTCGATACTGGTTCGCCCAACCCGTTGGTTTCCCGAGGACCCCAAACCCGGACCCAAACACGATTCAAACAATCACGGAACAGAAGTAGTCAATCAAGGGTGGCCCGGCCTGAGGGGAGGCGCCAGGACGTTGTTCGATGGTGAGGGAGACGGAGCTCGGAGTTTTTTTGGGCCCTTATAGGAACCTATAAAAACCTATAGAAATCTTATAGGAAACTCATAGGAAACCTGTAGGAACCCCTCTTCATCTTTTTCTATGGGCTTCCTATGGACTTCCTATGAGTTTCCTATAAGATTCCTATAGGTTCCTATAGGTTCCTATAAGGGCCCAAAAAAACTCCGAGCTCCCGACACCCATCGTCTGGTTGGGTCATGACCCGTTGGGCAGACCCCCCGTACCCGTTGGGCGAACCAGTACTTTAAAAAAACGAAACCCCCCAGGCACGTTGGGCAGACCAGTACTCGAAAAAAAAATCCGAAACCCCTCCAGACCTGTTGGGCAGACCAGTACTTGAAAAAAACGAAACCCATCCAGACCCGTTGGGCAGACCAGTACTAAGCCAAAAATGCCGCGCCCTTTGGGCAGACCAGTACTTGAAAAAACGAACCCCCTTCGGGCCCGTTGGGCGAACCAGTACTTGAAAAAACCCGACCCCTATCCCCCAGACCCGTTGGGCGAAAGGGTACTTTGAAAAAACCGAAACCCCTCCAGACCCGTTGGGCGAACCAGTACTTTAAAAAAACGAAACCCCCCAGGCACGTTGGGCAGACCAGTACTCGAAAAAAAAATCCGAAACCCCTCCAGACCTGTTGGGCAGACCAGTACTTGAAAAAAAACGAACCCCTTCCAGACCCGTTGGGCAGACCAGTACTAAGCCAAAAATGCCGCGCCCTTTGGGCAGACCAGTACTTGAAAAAACGAACCCCCTTCGGGCCCGTTGGGCGAACCAGTACTTGAAAACGAATCCGAAACCCCCAGACCCGTTGGGCGAACCAGTACTAAGCCAAAACCCCCCGGTCCCGTTGGGCAGACCAGTACTTAAAAAAAACGACCCTCCCCCCAAACCCGTTGGGCGGACCAATACTAAGCCAAAAACCCCGGGCCTGCTGGGCGAGCCAGTACTTGAAAAACCTGAACCCATAATCAAGCAGAAAAACTAGCGAAAAGTCAACCGGCTGAAGGGTGCAATCAGGGTGCAATTAGGGTGCAATTAGGGTGCAATTAGGGTGCAAACGGGTGCAACCCAAAAATCGTGCAAAAACACACACAAACAGGCTAAAAAAGGGTGAGTGCCAGAGGACGCACTCCCAAACGAAGCAAAAAACACCCGCAAAATCAAGCAAAAAGCCAACCGGCTGAAGGGTGCAATCAGGGTGCAATTAGGGTGCAATTAGGGTGCAAAAGGGTGCAACCCAAAAATCGTGCAAAAACACACACAAACAGGCTAAAAAAGGGTGAGTGCCAGAGGACGCACTCCCAAACGAAGCAAAAAACACCCGCAAAATCAAGCACAAAGCCAACCGGCTGAAGGGTGCAATCAGGGTGCAATTAGGGTGCAATTAGGGTGCAATCAGGGTGCAAAAGGGTGCAATCCCAAAAGCGTGCAAAAACACACAAAAACAGGCTAAAAAAGGGTGAGTGCAGAAGAAGAAAAAACAACGAAGCAAAAAAACACCCGCAAAATCATGCAAAAAAGCCAACGGCTGAAGGGTGCAAGCGGGTGCAATTAGGGTGCAATTAGGGTGCAATCAGGGTGCAAAAAGGGTGCACCCCAAAAGCGTGCAAAACACGCAAAAACAGGCTAAAAATGGGTGAGGGTGAGAGCCAGAGGACGCACTTCCCCAAACGAAGCAAAAAAAATCACCCGCAAAATCAGCAAAACACCGGCTGAACGGGAGCCAATCAGGGTGCAATTAGGGTGCAATTAGGGTGCAATTAGGGTGCAAAAGGGTGCAACCCCAAAAGCGTGCAAAAACACACAAAAACAGGCTAAAAAGGGTGAGTGCCAGAGGACGCACTCCCAAACGAAGCAAAAAACACCCGCAAAATCATGCAAAAAGCCAACCGGCTGAAGGGTGCAATCAGGGTGCAATTAGGGTGCAATTAGGGTGCAATCAGGGTGCAAAAGGGTGCAACCCCAAAATCGTGCAAAAACATGCAAAATCGGGTGCAGTTGGGCGAGCCAGTATCAAAACGGAGTTGGGCGAACCAGTATCAAAAACGGGGTTGGGCGAACCAGTATCAAACCCCAGCGGGTTGGGCGGGCCAGTATCAAACCTGAACGGGTCGGGCGGCGGGCCCCTTATAGGAACCTATAGGAACCTATAGGAAACTTATAGGAAACTCAGAGGAAACCCATAGGAAACTCATAGGAAACCGTAGGAAGCCCTCTTCTTCTTTTCCTATGGCCTTCCTATGGAATTCCTATGAGTTTCCTATACGATTCCTATAGGTTCCTATAGGTTCCTATAGGTTCCTATAAGGGCCCAAAAAAAACTCCGAGCTCCGACCCCCTTCATCTGACTGACCCGTTGGGCAGACCAGTACTACGCCAAACTCGGGGCCAGACGATGACTCACATGAGCGGTCTACTAAGGGTCGTTGGGCGAACCAGTACTAATCCTACGTGCCCGCTCGGCACTGTGCCTGCTCGGCACTCCTACAAGTGCCTGCTCGGCACGTCCTACAGTGCCTGCTCGGCACTCCTAAAAGTGCCCGCTCGGCACTGTGCCTGCTCGGCACGTCCTACAGTGCCTGCTCGGCACTCCTAAGTGCCTGCTCGGCACTCCTAAGTGCCTGCTCGGCACTGCCCACCCGCCCCAGCGCCAGACCCCCCGCAGTTGCTTCGCCAGGATGACCTCACAAGCACGGCAGCCTGACAGGGAATGAAAAAAAACTTCGGGGGGTTTGGGGGGGGTGCACCACATGCCAAGCACAATCAAGCAAAATCATGTCATGCCAAAATCATGCAAAAATCATGTCACGCCATGCAAAAATCGTGCAAAACGAGCTATTCCTCCGGTCCGTACATTTATGTACAAACTAGAGGAATAGCATTTTTCAGCGCAAAACCGTGCGAAACAAGCTCCCGACCATCTGCACAGATGCCCGAGACTGCGCGCGGCCGGGCAAAAAAAACTGGCCCCGTAAAAAAAGAATGGCAAGTTGGGCGAGACAACGACAGCAGATCACGGAGGCCGCGGACGGCGGCGCCCGGGCTCGCACGGGGGCGGATGGTGCCGTCGTGCTGAACCTGCGGCGCGGCCCGGGGGCCTACGCGCTGCTCTCGCGCGCTGACGGGCAGCTGACCCGGGCGGGCCAGCACTACTACTCCCACCTGGGCCTGCGGCCTCCCAGCAAGGACTTCGACTACAACCAGCCCCTCATCCGCGAGGGCCCAACGACTACATCCTGCTGCGCAACGGGCAGAAGAAGCTCGTGCGCTCCCTGCAGGGCGGAGAGCACCGGCTGACCAAGCTGGGCAAGGGCTTCTTCCGCGACAAGTACTACGAGTACCTGGTCCACGTGCCGGTGATCATCCGGGGCAGGCGCCGCAGCGGGCGGAACGCGGGCGCGGGCTACGAGCGCAGGGACTGGCTGCCGGTGAACGAGCTGGGCGGGGCCACGAGGCACCCGGCGCACCTCACGGAGGAGCAGGTGGCGCTGCGGGTCAGGCAGCAGGTGGAGGCCTCGCTGGGAGACCCGGGCGGCCCCATCCTGCAGCTCTCGGACGAGACCTACTTCCTTGACCCTGAGGGGCACTG